CCCAAAATTGGGGGCCTAAGGCATGCGCCTTAATTTTTCTAAGCAACAGCCGCCCCTGCATATGTGCTCTAGTTTCTAGATGGCAGGGATATCAATATCTCAAAAGTATGACAGAGGGTATCTGCATACCATTTACGATAGTTCAGGGGAATATTTGTCTTTTTCCCCTTCTTTTTATTCAATCTTTAAATGAATAATATATTCTAATATAATAATTTAATTTTAAATTCTTAATTTCCAATTTTTTTCTCACATAAATGAAGACAAACAGAATAATAATAGGTCGACTACAAAGTAAGGGGTCGTTTGGTTTGAATATGAGTTATGATGGGATAAGTTATGTTGGGATAACTTATGTTGGGATTAGTTATGATGGGATAAGTTGTCCTGGGATTATTTCTTATTGAGTGTTTGGTTTGTTATATTCAAAATAATATATATTGATAAATTTTAAGAACAAGTTGTTTGTTTACAAAATTACCCTTCACTTTATTTAAACTTTTTAAATTTTTCTTTGTGAGCTTTAGTTATTCATTTTTTAAAATAAAACTTTTATTTTTTTTAACTTAAATATTTTTGTTTATGTATTCCCATGAAAGTACCATGTGTATTTAAAAATATAACTTTTTTCTTATTTAGCTTAAAAATAGAACTTGCCTCTTAAGTTTATTAAAAAGAAGAAAATTTATGAGAAATCAAAATAAAATAAACATAAGAATTAGTCAAATAAATTCATAAATAAAAATTATATTTATATAGAATAATTTTTAATAGAAAAATATGTATAATTATCATAAAAATAAGGAGTAGTAAATATTATTATACATGGTATTAAAAAAAATGTAAATATACATAAATGTAAAAAATGATATATAAAAAGGATTTAAAGGGACATATTTGTCATTTACCTATTCTATCTCGGGATAAGTTATCCCGGGATTACTATACCACCCATGGGGAGGGATAACTTATCCCGGTACTAATTATTAATCCCGGGATAAGTTATCCCGGACTTGCCAACCAAACAACATAATTTTTTTTTTATCCCATCACTATTTTCTTATCCCATCATTATTATTTCTAATCCCTCACACCAAACGAGCCCTAAGAGTTTAACTATTACTAAACCGACTCCTATATATCCATTTCTTTTGACTTCTCTTTGCCGACAAATAATCATTTACGTTAACGCGTAAGATTTGATCATTGCAACTTTTGAATATATAGGCATATACCTCTCTTTTTATTTTTGCCTCTTTTTCTTATTTCAGAGAAGCGGAACTGTAGTGGCGAATCTAAAATTTCTAGAATATGAATATATTTATTAAAAAAAGAAGGAGAAAATTTGTATTTAGTGGGAACTGATCTTTGGTCCTCTAAATTAATAACTCAATTTTAATTAAGTGAACAATTTGGCCTTTTTATCTTAGAGGTGTCAGATAGATTATATTACATTAATTTTAAAAAATATATACATAAAATACTTAATTCTATGGAGACCATAAATTCACGTACCCTAAATTATCTCTATAAATCTGCCCCTCAATATAAGTATATAGTCTAAACAACACTATAGCTAATTAGGTCTCGTAATCTTGTTATCTTGGTGAAGTTAATTATATCCTTACCTACAATGTTTTTTTTCTTAATGACCTCAGCATGTTTTTTTATAATTAGGATGGTCGAGTCCGCCTACGTATATCTAGCAAAAAAAATAAAAATAAGTACATGTTATTTTTCACCAGCATAAATATTAGAAAATTTTGTTCATTAAAATTAAGCGGACAGAAATGATCGGCTTCACAACCTCCTTCAATAGCTAGAGTATGTGAAATTCTAACAATTAGGGAAAATAAACATATTTTATACAATCATTTATTTTAAGTAATTTCTATTAATACTACTTAAGTAGTTTGCTTTTTGTACGAGTAACTATTATATATACGAATCAACTTAATGAGATGTGAAGTCTTGAATTGTTTGAATTTGAAATATAGCAAGCTTCTTCACCTAATTATAGACAATTTTTATTGGTGTCACATGTGCCCTAGCTAGAAAAGTCAATAAGCACAATTATACGTAGATGATAATAAAAATGATCTTTATCAAATAAAATATAACATAATACACTACTCTATACCGACAAAGAGAAGAGGAAGAAAATTGTAGAGTTGCTTATTTGTTAATTTCAATGAATATATAAGAGGATGCACTAAAAAAAGCTTAAAGTATACTATAAACATAAAATTGGAATTAAAATTACTGAATTATGTCATATTCAACGACAAGCTAATTATAGCAATCGTCTATGCTTAAAAGAAAAAGAAGAAGATGAACATTAAAGCTGATAAGAGATGGTCCTACGAGTTAGAAGTCACGGTGGTTGCTCATCCATATCGTACATCTTTGACATTTTGAATTTGATTTAACTAATACATCAATAATATAAATAGTTAAATAAATACATTTAAAACCAAAACAAAAAAAAGAAGATAGTCAAAATAAGCAAGCTGAGATATGGTGCCAAATGTACATCAGAGTTTATAAGGAGATGACATTCACGATAAATAAAATTAAAAGTTAGTTATGAACTTTATTGTTAGTTCATCACCAAAATCATACGACATAAGTATATAACTAATGATATTTTTAAAAATCTTCACTAAGCCATTATTAAATAGAATTAATAATCAATTAGTTATAAAATTTATCCATCATTTTTTAAAAAGTAATGATTGTTAGTGTACTTGAGACACAAGTGACCCATGAGGACCCCCAATGAGTAACAAGAGGGGTATGGAAAAGATATATTCACACATGCATGCATAGTTGTAGAGAGAGAAAATGTATATAATGTTTGTTAAAATCAACCTATAAAATTATGATTTATCTTATTTATTTACATGTAAAGGGATTAATAATTTATTTATTTTATTAATTGAGTTTATATTAATCTATTTAATTTAATTCATTTACAAATTAATTGAATTGATATACAATTCTGATTGAGCCATTTGACATTTTTACTTAAATATTTATTTTATTTGACATATTTTCTTAAAAAGAAAAACATTAAAGTGTCTTTGTCCTTTATCAATCCATTTGGTTGAAAATTGGTCTAATTATTCCCAATTTTCTATCTCTCTCTTTCAAACTTAGTAGCAAGTTGAAGAGAAGTAAAAAGATGGCGATGAAAGGAAAGTTGAGCTAACGTAACCAAGTCCATTTTTTATTGCACATATATCTTCTAGAAACGATTTAGGTTTATCCACCGATAATATAATATATTTTGATAAAAATTTAACAGTCTTGAATATTTATATTAAATCATACTAATTTTTTACATATAATTAAAATTTAAAGGTGAGGATACACCGGTATTATAATTAATAATGATTTAGTGATAAGACCTTTTGTGAAAACTTATATCATATATTCGTTCGATTTTGTTAAACTCGATACTTATAAGTTTTTATCCAATTCTTTTATATTATTAGTGGATGTTGTTTTGGATATATCTTTAGATACGACGATTAGTGAAAGTGACTATTGAGAATTGAGATACTTAGGTACGTAAGAAGAAGCTTATCACTTCAAACCTTACTACAGAATTACAAAATTTCAAATAAGAATTAAACATCACATGAAACTAAATAAAAAAAAAGTAAAAGTAAGAACAGATAATCATAATTAGGGTTGTTCATGGTTATGGTTATAAAACCAAATCAAACCATAACCCGAACCAAACCGATTAAAAAAACCGATATTTGGTTTGATTTGGTTAGGTTTGGTTTTAAATTTTGAAAAACTGATATTATTTGGTTTGGTTTTGATTTTACTAAAAATTAACCGCAGAAATAACCAAATCGAACCGAGAAGTTATATACATAAATTTTATAATTATTTATAAATAAAATATAAGTATTTTGATAAATTTTAATTAACTTAAGTCTTTAATTTACTATTTTCTGAAGCCCAACACTTAAATTTTAGCCCAACTATTAAAACCTTAAGTCTAAATCCCTTAATATTCATTAATTTAAAGATTACACTTTTCTGTTCTTTATAAAATTTTCAAATGTAGCATTGAATAATTTAAAGCTCAAGCTAAAGAAGATGATAATTGATTAGTTTTGACTATGAAATATTGGTTGTTTTCTTTTTTTAGAAGTAATTTCTCAATATTTTAAGGTGTAATTTTATTGAAAAGTCTATGATAAGATGTTGAGATCTCCAGAATATTGAACCAACTTTATACTATTGACAATTAGTTTTTTTAGTTTCTGAAACTTGGTACGATGAATCACTTTGTTCATGTAATAGCTTGTTTGTGAATTGTTCATGTACTAAGTGTTTGTGTCTATCGAGATGCGTATGTCCTCAACAAACTTATTACTTTCGAACCGAAAAAAACTGAAAAAACCTAACCAAATTGACGATAACCAAACCAACGGTTGTTTTTTTGATTTTATTTTAGAAATTTAAAAACCAATTTAAATTGATTTGATTTTGATTTTAACTAATAACCGATCCAAACCGAACCGTGATCACCCCTAATCACAATCAAACTTACAATGAAAAGAAAGTATAATGTTTTCTACTCAAACAATTTATGAAGACAACCAAGCTAAGACCATGCCTAAACATGTTAGGAGGAAGTGCAAATTGTGTATCGATGTTTTTAACAAATAAAAAGCACTATTTCTTGTCCTATGCACTTAATAACAGGATATTTCTTTCTCACTTATAAATAAAGTTTTAATTTTTTTTATATAAGAAGACCATGAAAGCCAATCCTTTGCCTCCACTAGTCTTTCTCTTATATATATAACAAATAAATATAGAGAAAGTAATTTTCAGTTCATTTTCTTTCTCTTCCCTCTCCACCCAAACACTACCACACCCAATTTTCTTCTACTATACTTCTTATATTCTATCTCTTTTTTTTCTTTTTTATATATCTCTATAATATCTATTTTAATTTCTATAAATAGAGAGACAAAAAGAAATAAGTACTTTTTATTGATAAGAAAATGAAAGAAAAATATGTAGAAGAAAGAAAAAACCACTCTAACAATATCTATACGTTTGCTAAACTTCATCAAATCCAAAATTTCCAGCTCCACCATCAAACGGCAGTATCCACCGCAGCGCCGCCGTCCTCCTCCGTCAACGACGGCGCCACCATCGAAGTCATCCGCCGTCCACGTGGCCGTCCACCCGGCTCGAAAAACAAATCCAAACCCAAACCCGAACCCAATTTCTTCACAGCAGCACGTGATGGTCACGTGGGAAAACCCACTATGAGTCCTTACATCCTCGAAATTCCAATTGGAATTGATATTATCGATTCGATCTATCGATTTTGCGGGAATCAAAATATGGGTCTATGTATTCTTAACGGGTCGGGTACAGTTACTAATGTTACACTTAAACAGCCTTCAATTAACCCGGCTGATTCTACAATTACCTTCCATGGAAGCTTCAATATTCTTTCGATTTCAGCTACAATTATACCAAGTGATTTTTCTCGGGTCTCAAATGGATTCAGTATTTCATTAGCCGGGCCACAAGGTCAGGTTGTTGGTGGGCCGGTAATTGGGCCACTTTTAGCTGCTGGGCCGGTATATTTAATTGCTACTACGTTTAATAATCCTTTTTATTACAAGTTTCCGGCGGAGGACGACGGCGACGGCGGTCAGTCCCCGGTTTCCGGCGCCGGAGATAGTGGGCAGCCACCGGAATCAACTCATCATGAGTATTGTTATAGTTCTAATCAGTTGCCATCGGATGTGATATGGGCACCTACCGCTAGACAATTACCACCTTACTAAAGTCGTATTCAGAATGTGAAGTTTACAAATTTAGATTTAAAATTTATCTTGTGTCTTGGTGAGTTTAGAATATATATTTTATGTTTATTTAGGAAAAATATATTGAGTTTGAATCAAAGTTACATTTAGTATTGTGAAAAAAGAAATTGAAATATTAGTTGTCTCCGTTTGATTAATGTAACTAGCTTTGACAGTTTATTGAGTTTATGTTATCTTATTTTATTTTTAGTATGTTAAGAAAAATGGTCCTAGTTTTAAATTTGAAAACATTTATTTTTAACTCTTTATTTAATTTTTATGGACCTGTTTTATAATTATGTTTTATTTTTAAGATGATAAATTTCAATAATTTTTTTTTCTCTTAAATTTTATGTTCAATGCAAAAATAAAGTTCATATATAAATTGAAACATATAAAATATTATTCTATTTAGTTCCATAAATGTTGTTTAGGTTAATGCAGTTTGGTATGAGGATGAGATAGAAAATGGTAGCTAATTCCAAAACTTTAATATAAATGACAAGATAAAATAATTTTACAATCAATTAATATCCATATTCAAACGCAAGATAAAATAATTTCTAGATTATTATTCTTATCTCACATAACAAATATATATGTGTATATATTTTATTCGATATCTAATATCAACATTCGAATTCAATTAATCTGAATTCACCTTGTGTAGAGCTCATTAAGGAAAATGCTTTCTATTAATGATATTTTTTATATCCAAAATTCAAATTCGAGATCTCTGATTAAATCGAAGTATATCTATTCACTACACAACCTATGTTGATGGTTACCAAACGAAGGTTTGGTCCTCCAGTCTGTGTGCTTGATGCTGATTGGTGAAGAAATTTTGTTTCCCTTTGGACATTTACTTTGAAACTACAACAGCAGCAGCAAGTGGCTGAAAATAATGCTGACTTTTCACTTTCATGGATGAATTCTTCTTATATTGGTTGTCTAATTAAATTGGCTCTTTTTCAAATGCATATATAGTGCATTGGATTGAGAAATATGAGTTAGGTTCGATAATCAATGCAGTTCTACAAGTGAGATTTCGAGTAGTATATACACAAATTTTATTTGTATCTTTATGAGGTAAAGAAACTGTTTTTCATAGAGTTTTAGTTACTAAATCTAATCCTTGATGAAAAATAAGCAAGTACGTAAGTTTTTTCCAATTCAAAGTGAAAAAATGGAATTATTCCTTTAGCAAATTGGGGTAAAATTGAGTGAAAAAAATCTTGATTTAAAATAAATTGATGAGAAAATGATATTTCTTTAGGATCTACTCAAACATTTACAAATTGATTAATTAGTTAAAATACACTTGTCTAAAAGAGAAACTCAAATCCTAATACCCTATAAAGTGATGATTCAACATAAATTCTATTAGGTATAATATATTAAAAGTAACTAAAAGATTCTATTTATATAAATGTAAAAGTGTTATGGGGTACTGTTCTTTTTTTTTTTTGGAATTATTTTCACCAACTAATAAAGTCAATGTTTATTTTAAAACACACTTTTGGAAAATTCAAAACTATGGTATTATGGTTAAGCTTTTAGTACTCATATCTTAAATGACTTAATATATACTTTCTCTATTTTAATTTATTTGTCTTGTTTTTTTATTTGCTTTAAAAATGGTATATTTCCTTCTTTAACAACTATTTAATTATAACGGGATCATCTTGCAAAATTTTGAACCTTCTTTACCACTTAACCAAGTTTTTGACTTATGCTCAGGAGGTAATTCATCGTTATGTATACACACATAATTCAAAGAAAATGATTATATATATAAATAGTGTAATTTTTCGACCAAGGGTGGTACTTCTAACTTCATCACCGCCCCTGGATAGAACCTTCAGTTTCTCATACGAGAGAATCTTAGTAGTTCAATTAGTTGACTATCTGATCTTTTTTCTTTTTAGTAAAGTTCAATTTCCCACCTTCACGTAATCTCCTCCCTTATTTCATCTTCTCCTAACCTTAATTATTATTATTATTATTTTAAAATAAATAAAGACCATCATATCCCTTAGATTTTTAATCGACAATTTTAACATAGTTCAAATATATTTCTGTTTTATTCCAAAAAGATTTTAAACTATAGAAATATATCCGATTAATACTGCTCCATTGGCTGCCGAACCCTTAGTTAATTTCCTTTTTTTTTAGCAAGGCCTAGTATTATTAATGTCGACGTAAATTTAATATTATATTATATACAAGATCTTTATCGTTAACTATTAACGATATGCTTTATTTGAATCACGAATCTATCAAAAACAATCTCTTAAATTAGCGATATATTTTTTATGAGAAAAAGATAAAGTTACATACATACATACTATCTTCTCCAGACTCCACTTGTAATACTATATTAATTTGATTTTGTATGTTATTGCTATTAACTATTATGTTTTCTCTACTTTCTTAAACTAAGTATTAAGTTAGAAAAGGACCAACAAATTAAAACGAAAAAAGTAATTAAAGTGTTTGTATTTATCATTCAAGACTTTTCACATCTATTAATGGATAATTGTGCAATTTGGTGGGTGAGAAAACAACCAACTTGTGTCGTGCATATATTGAAGCTTTCTCTTCCTTTATTACTTTTAATTGTTATGATTTTTTTTTAGAATTAAACTATATGAGCTTTGATTAACATTTTATGATGTATTTTTTTAATCATATTGATATGTAAAAAAATACAATTTATAGTACTTTTTGTATAGTTTTTGAATATCTAACTTTTTTGTTTAAAATATTGAATTAATGTAATCTAATTTAAATTTGAAAATCAGTCAAATTGACTTTTAAAAAACGCAATATGACAATTAAAAATGGAAGGAGAGCGTATCATCATTTTGATGTAACTTTGCCTCTTTCCTTGACCTACTTCTATATGCCCCATTTGCTGTCCGGCTGCTCATTAAAAAAAAAAGGTAAAATAGTCGTAACGTTTTTTGTATAAATAAAATATATGGTAAAAGATTGTATGAAAAGTTAAATTTGGGTTTTATGATATTATTCCAAAGATATGTATGTGAAATCAAAATATACTGAGAATAAGTATAGTTTAAAGAACCTTATAATCGCACTATATTTTGTAGATTTTTACAATATTTTATTATTTAATTTATGGGCCAAAATTATCATCAAAATTGCTTATATTGTTTGTATATAAATTTTCGTTGGTTATCCTTTTATTTTTGGATAGTTTTAGTCAGAGGCGTATCCAGGAAGGGGTCATCGGGTTCACGTGAATCCATGCTCCCCTCCTGAAATCATATATAGTAATGTTATATTTTAAAAAAATATTTAAATATAGATATTGTTGTGCCGTAATTTGACTATCTCTAGAAAAATCACCTTTTGAAATGTTCCAAGTATAAAACAATTTGAGAAATACTTAGAAAGAGTCGCCACTTAATTTTTTAAAGAAATTAAGAAAACTTATAATTTTCAAAGATTTAAACAGAAAAAATCATTTGAAAATACCAAAGAGGGTTCGGGGTTCAATTTACACTTCGAGAAGGGTTTAAGCATTCGAAGTGTCTGCTAACATGCGGTTGACCTGCGACTTGACTAAAATATATTTGACTATTTTTTAGAAAAAATAGAATAATTTAACATAGAGAATATATAATAATTTACACTATTCGATTAAGTTCGAGAAAATAATTAAGAAATGAACCATTTTTATTCTATCTTTTTAGAAAGAGGGACCTAAGATGAAAATATTTGAATTAAGGTGCAAATGATTAGAAAATTAATAAAACTAGAATGATTAGAATTTATTTAATAAATTAAACCAATTTAACACATTAAAACATGAAAATCATTTTTAATTACTTGAAAAGTAAAAGTTTTGACTAACTTTTTTGAAAAAAATGACTAAGTAAGTATTTATGATAATAATTTACACTATTAGATTAACTTTGAGAAAGTAGTTAAACAAAGAGCGATCTTATTTTTTAAGAAAAATGGGACCTTAATTGAAATATTTGAATTAGAGACATGTAATAAGAATTTTAACGAAACTAAATTAGTTGGTTTCTATTTGAGTCATTTTTTTTTTGGTTTATGAAAAAAAAAACTTATTTTAAACTAAATAAAAAAAAAAGTTGACTAAAGATTATAAATGATAATGCAAGAGTCGATAAAATGAGATTTGTTAGAAATAAAACAACACAGAGAAATAGTTTGTCTTTTGGGGAATTCAACTAAGTTAATTAAAAATTCTAAAGTTAGAGTTAAACAACAAATAATAAGTAATCGCAATTAAATAATGAAAGAGTAAGGGAGAAATTGAATTTGAGCCTTTCTTGGGCCAAATTCGCTACTTTTTTGGAGTTTAACACAATTCCCGTTTTTGGTATACAGCTGATGTATATCAGTGTATATCGGCATGTGTATAGGTTCTTTTCGTGTATCTCTTGCTTCCGAACACCTGTATTTCGCGTTGGCCCTATATTTTTGCGTTTTTGAGCCGTATATCGCTGTTTTTTTCCGTGTATACTTGTGTATACAGCTGTATAGGTCATGTATACTGCCTTCTTTTGGTTTTTAAGACCTGAAAGTTCAATTTCCAGCTCCCTTTTAAGTGCATTCAATCTGTCCGTCAGTTTCAAAGGCGGCTGACTCGAAGGGAAGGGTTTGAGCCTTCGTGGCTCAACAAGAAAATGCAAGGAGAGAAAATAAAGTCCGTGAGGACTCGGAAGGAGTTTCACATGCAACAAAAAAAAAATAATGATTAGCTTTTGAGGCGAAGAAGAAAAGAGCAAATAAGACACAATTTAATTAAATAACGTAGCCCATGCAATCTGAAACAATATATTACCAAATTCACCACATGACATGGAGCAAATGAATTTAAAGCCACATTATTGAGAGCTGAAGTATAAGGAAGTTCTAAGAAAAATATGCACACAGGCATGGGCATAACAGTGAAGTCCTAAGGGAGTAAAAAATGGGTCCAACAAGGGCAACTTATTCAATGAACAAATGATTGTTAAACAATAAAATTCACCACACAAAAGAGGTAGAGGGCGTGTTATATACTAGGCAGAAATCATGTTTCATTTGGTCATTTTTTATTTGGACAAGTTTCCAATTTAAGAAGTGACCACTGTAAGAAATTCTATGCCAAACATATAAGAGACCAACTTAGGCACGGCAAAG